AATTTAACAAAATGCATTACATGTTCTGGAAAACGTTCTTCAACATAGGATACCTTATCTTCGTAAACTGGTCGACTAAGCACCAGCTAAGTAATGAGTAGAATCCAATTCGGTCTATCTATTCGGTCTTAAATCGTATCTGGAACAAAATTCTCTATCATGATTGGTTCTGCTCGGGCCTATTTGTGACAGTGATTGAACCGAATGGAGTACCATTCAGGGAGTAATCGCGAAAGCAATTTCAAAATCGGACGAGCGCGCACCACGAGGTCGATTGTGAGCACGATCAATAGCAATTTCGAGTTAAAAAAAAAAGTATTTTAAGAACTTCCTTTGAACGGAAGAGTCAGTAGTGTTTTCTAAAGCTTTAAAAGCTGTAGGGAACATTTAGAAGAAAGCTAGCTATTTTCAAAAAGGGCACATAATTGACATGAGGTAGGCATAGGTATCCAATTAGGTAATCATACGGTTTTTCTCGTTCAATTTGGAATTAATTTGCACGAGTGTGCAATTTCAGCTCAGTTTTGGAAAACTCACAAGTGCAAACTGATTCCAAATTGAACTGACGAGAAAAACCGTATGATTATGAAATAGGGCATTATGATAACAAAGCAGATTTAAGAATTTGTTATAATTATTATTAATGAGGTAATTTTATAACTAGCCAAATTAAAAATAAATGATGATGCACACAAAGATTGATTATAACAGAAGTCGAAGATTTTCCCTAGCTATAAGGTATATTGATAAATTAATCTATCTACCTACCTACAAGTACCTATCTTACAAGTTTCAAAAAGGTTTATGTTATTAAGATTTGAAGTAATCAATAACTTGGTAGTGTCACTACCATTCGTCACAAATGCTTACTCAGTTGTTTCTACATTTTCAGGATTTAATCTTCTAATGAGATCACGTGCAGGATTTCCGTTCAACATCAAAGAATACAGGAGTGTGTGACCGGCGCAGGCGTGACGTCTTTAGGATGGACCCGCTGCTCAAGAAAGTGATCTTTCGGTTTTTTGTCTTCTTGTCATGTATCTTTTTCAGTGCTTGGCTGCTTTTTATAGCGGAACACACAGAAAAAGACATTGTCGAAGAAAAGTATCAACTGTTACTCTCTCTGTACGGGTTGATGGCATCTAAGTGCAACATGACCATCGAGGAGTTTAATAATTTTTCCAGCCTTGCGCTCGAGGCCTTGAGTGAACCAAAACCGCGGTGGACTTACCTTGCTGCAGTTGATTTTGTCTTTCAAGCCTTCACTACAATTGGTAAGTCAATCTACACGGAAGTGCAGCAGCGCTATAAAAAACGACAGAGTGCTCAATCCCTACGGGTGTTACCGAATCATTCAAGAATCGAAGTGCACATTTTATTTGGGTTATTGTCTGAACACATGTATGATAGTCGACATAAAAACAAAAAAACAAGAAAAACAAAACGCAACACAACAAAACACAATAATCTGTAGCAAATCACAACACAACTCAGTTCAACACAACAAAACAAAATACGACATATCGTGAAGTGGCTTAGGGAAAACATCGTTACCGACTGGAAGAAAGCATAAAATTTGGCACACAACCTCATTTTGGTCCTGCAAACAAATTTAGGCTGGGTGCCACATGATCCGATTACCCGGGGGAG